CAGAGGCTTCGACGGACTTTGCGGGGTCTTGGCGCTTACAATGGCAATTACCATGACGGCCAGTATCAGGATCACTTTCATCTTGCAGCTCGGGTGTTTGTTTGGAAATGAAGTTGTCGCTCCACTTGGACACGTGGTGAACCCAACAATGCGAACCAGACGACTGGGTGAAAGGTTATCGCTGCTGGCCTCAATCGTGGTGTTGCCACGCCATGGGGCGCTGAGCACTTGCAAAACTGAGATTAATGGCTCACGTTGCTGGTTGCAATATTTCCGTTTGACAATAATGAACGACACGAAACACGATTGAAACAGTATTTCTATACGAGCCCCAGACGCAAACTTTGTGTACTAACTTACGAGTGACGCACACAGTTTTTCGTCGTCCGCTTGGCTCTTCCTACCATCAACATGTACTATAATGTAGACGATTTGTTGAAGTTATTTGGACCCAAAGTCTGTCATTTGAACAGCCTGTTCTGAACAGATTACGAACGCAGCGAGGACACACAGCTAGCTTACGGCAGATTTCATAGTGGGGGTATATGCTAACATCAGCATAGCTCGACACTATCTCCCACTTGGGCCTTGGTGCCTCCGCATTCTTGAAAATCGACGCGGACTTTGCCAGCCTTACCAAAAGGCTTCTCAATTATACCTTCGTCTGCTTCACCGCCGCCGAAACACCGGATGCGAGAGCCCACAGCGTCTCTCGCCTCCTGTTCGGTATCGAACAATCCCGAAACAATAGCAAACGGATTCCTGCCATCCGCAGTTGTCTCACCCTTCAGTCGCTCGATATGTCCGCGTCGCTTTGAGATTCTAGCTTCACTGTCCACTTTTGCTTGCTCCAATGATGCAGTATCAGCAATAGAAACGCAATTCCTGTCGTCTGACGGCTCAAATGCTTCAGGATAAAGCAAATGATTGTCCTGCACAAACGAACGCACTGGAGTCTTGCTGGAGGGTTTACCGTTCGTCATCTCTGTTGATTTCCCCTTTAACTTGGGTGTCTTCAACGTCATTAACTTCAGGAAACGCAAAACAAACCTCTCTCCTGCAACAGGCATCAATTGCGACTTTGTATCGGGTAACAATGCAATGCGGAACTTCCCAGCCTTGCCAAAAGGTCCGAGAATTGCTCCCAGTCGCTGTACTTGCTCGAATAAAACCTCCGAGTTCTGATAAACACTCCACTTGACATCCTTTGAAAACATATCACGACCGATCACTTCTCCACTTGGAGCCACCACTTTATCTACAAAACCTTCTCGACTTTTTACTCGACCAATGTGGAGGTCATTCAGATTCACTACACTTGGGTACACACCACTTAATGTATCCATCTCCTCATTACTTGAGCTTACAACAGTCTGCACTGATCCGTAAAACGCCAATCGACACGGAAACCGTTTGGCGTCGAGATCGAGACGCGAACACACGACTAGCGTCTTAGCAGGACAATACACAGCGTGCTCGAACTGGAGTAGCGCGAATATTGTGGATGTAGCCATCTCACTTTCAGTACTTTCTTGGTTCTTTTCCACAAAATCGAGATCCGACACGTATTCGTACAATGCTGAGGGGTTGAACTCCAAATTCTTCTGACTGTCCTGTCCTAATGGAGAGAAGAATGTACATGTAGCCATGACAGTCGTGTGTCCAATTGTAGCGTGACACTTGGCTCCACTCTTGCACACTGCTCCACGAAAGAACGACACACGCGTCACTGGGATTATCACTTGGGTTACTGGAGTTAAACTCCCGGGTGGTGACACTGCCATCGCTCTCTCCACAAGGGACGCATCTAAGCCATTTACTCGAACACCCACGCGATCTCCTTGGGTGCATCTGTCCACATCGTGTTTAAACACTTGTAGCGTTTTTACTTTCGTTTTCACCCCAATAGGCAACAGTTCCAACTCGTCTCCCTTGGTTAAAGCTCCAGCTAATACTGTCCCAGTTAGAACTGTCCCATTCCCAGGCACAGCGAAGCAGTGGTCCACTGCAAGGCGGAAAGCTCCGGAAGTATCACGTTCTGGTATCTCTAAATTGGCTCTCAACACTTCTAGAAGGTGTTGGATGCCTTGGGGTTCTTGTCCAGTCCCCACAGCAACGGGAACCACGGGAACGGGGATCTTGTTCTGGAAGTTGAAATGTGTAGCCAAGAACGTTCGTATCTCTTGGGTAACTGCATCAATTGCTTTCGTTCGCTCTGAGACCACAGAAGGCAGCAAGTCCGTCTTGGTGAGAGCCACAATAACTCTGCGTTCAGCTATTAGCGACGCCAGCAGCAGACTCTCGATGGTCTGAGACTGTAGTCCTTTGCGGCAGTCCACGACCAACAAGACAGTATCGATGATGGCTACACCGCCCAGGATTGTCCGGAAAAGCGACGCATGGCCCGGACAGTCCACCAAAGTGACCTGCAAAGATGGCTTCGCTTGATCTGATGGCTCCAAGCGGAAGCTGGAGAAGCCCAGGTCCAGCGTGATCCCGCGCTGCTGGCTCTGCGGATGCTTGTCCAAAGCGGCAGTGGACAGCTGCGTGCTCAGAGCGCGCACGAGGCTCGTCTTGCCGCTGTCCACATGCCCCAGCACTCCGACATTGACGTTCACAACTGTCATCGTGAAAATGGCTACAGGTTTAATTGAGTAAAGTTGATGTGGCAGAAGTAAAATACGGGCACTTGCTTTTTGTATTGAGCAACAGTTGTTGAAGTTAGTGTAGCCATTTTGCCTAGCATGCGAGGTGAGCAGGCGGTTGGGTGCCGTGTACAAGTGTACTGGGAGGGCGAAGATGAGTGGTTTGAGGGCGTAGTGGACGCGTTCTCGACGGAGAAAGGCTACAACGTCAAGTACGACGACGGCGAGGAACAGTGGGAGGTGCGCGAGCTCGAGACGCTGTTGAGCTTGAGGTTTTGGCTACATGTACTGTTCACTAATACTAGTCGTAGTTGGATGCAGGGGAGTATCCGATCCGGTTCTTGACAGACCCAGAGACTGGAAGAAGCGGAGATACATCGGGTGATATTGCGTCGTCTGGAGAAGAGGAGCGAGTGGATAACAACGACGCAGCTCCAGAAAACGATTCAAAGCAAGTAAGTGAAGAGGAATATGAGGAGGGAGAGCACAAAGACCCAATAGAACAAGAACATGACGACGAAGCAGCTAGTTCGGTTCCCGAAACAGAAGAACCTGTGGTTATTCCTTCCACTACAAAGCCGCAGAAGGCAGTGAAACCTGCTAGAGCTTTCATGCGCTCGTCGGCTGCGTTCTTTCGCGACGAAGATACACTGCGTGAGATGCGGAAAGAGCTACGTCAGGAGAAGAGAACACTGAGCAACCAAGTCCACATATTAACAATGCAACTAGCCGAAAAGGAACAAGTGGCTGCCTCGCTCAAAAGCGAACTACAGGAGCTGAAAACGAGTGCAACACTGGCAAACGTCATGCGTCAGATTCCCAGATCTGGTACTCTCAGTAGTCCCAGCGGACCCCTCAAAGGCTCTCCAAAGCCAAAGACGACGGCAGAATGGGGAGAGCGCGTACTGGACCAGAAACTGGAGAACCAATGCTTGGCAGAGGAACTTCTCGCTTTAAAGACCGCCGTACAGGATAAGCAGCTAATGGTGCAGCGTAAGCAGAAACAGCGAGATGAGATGAATGCGAAGCTGTCACGTGTGCCTCGTCGACATCTGTGCACTCTGGTCGATCTCCAAGTTGAGATCTCGCGGTTGTTAGAGGAAAAGCGAGCGCTGGAAGCTCAACCACGTCCGACCTCTTCACAGTCAAAGCCTGAGAAAACGAGTAGTGTACGTGTAAGTGCATCTACTAAGGCGGCACTACAGAGCGAGCTGACAAGTCTGGAAGTCACGACTGAGAGATACAAGGAGGAACTTCGTCAGTGGCACCTTAAGATCGACTGCGAGAAGGCACGTTTGGCTCCTTTAGAAGCGCGTCTAGCGAGTTTGCAGCAGGAGCTACGGCGATATGAAGACTCCCAAGTGCTATTGCGCAGTGTCTTCTTGCGTTTGGGATTCGATAAAAGAGATGGGTCTGTGTCATTGGAAGCAGCGTTGACTGCATTCCAAACACTCACCCCGCTGGATCGAGACGCACTTACAGCCGAGGAAATGGTGATTCGATTGAAGGAGGGCGGCATTATTTCGTTGAATCAAGAAGACCAGCAGCGCCTCTCATTTGCACAATTTGTCACAGCCTTTAGCTGCTTGTTCAAGACGTGAATCTGTAATATAAGGGCAGCAAACTCCACAGAGAGTAGTGCATGCATGGTTCAATCTAACTATTGTATCCACAAAAACCATTTAGGGCGTGACTAATCATAACGTGTAAATGAATACTCCACTCCGCAGACAACGCGCAACGAACCTTCACTGGTAGCCACGGTTTACCGTAGGTAACTTACTAAGTTTGACCACAGTGTGGACTCCACACCGAAAATTCCCACAGCATTGCGTGTGGACATGGACTGGGCAAGGTGAACATGATTATTCAGTGACAGGATTACCGTAATTTAGTATCTGACGCGAAGATTGTGCAGATTAACAAACAAATCCCCCAACGAACATTCTGAACGTGTTGTTTGTGGTCGCACCCCTGACATGATTATTCGCATTTGAGATTACACCTGTATTAATAGTTTAGTAACGTCGGTGAACCTAATTGTGCACGTACTACCCAAGCTGCATTGAATATACGATCCCTCAAGCAATTAATTTTCCAGTTACCAACTCGGTCACTATCAAATTCACCTCGGCCAAGAACTCCATACAGCTTGACTATCCGATATGATATCGGTCACAGTACGCGAATGTTGGGTCTCAGTATTTTTCATTCATGAACACTAGTATATTACGATGGTAAGGTGCTGGTACACGCTGGGAGAATGACGAACTAAAGTTGCCGACATCGTCTGACTGTGCTGAGCATGGCATGACGTCAAACACTTATTTTTCAACTCTCCGATATCCTACGACACAAGCATCTATCTTCACCACTTACACGTTGACTAATAAATATCTATATGATTCTAGCAATCGTATCCTAAAATAAAGCAGCATAATATGTTATTTTATTGATCAATTTGTCCAGAATCTTGATGTTTGCTTCTTTCCGACGTCCCTTCATCGTTACTCGTCGATCGCATGCAAGCTCAAGACTTTGAGAATGGAGACCTGGAAACCACGACAGGCAGTGAATCTGAATCTCCGACTACGATAGGACAGACTCTGATTCTAAGCCGCACACACGTGGACCCTCCTCCTTTCCTAGACGTACTATCATTTCATTCGAGTCGTTTGTTACCAGAATCGCGACAAGAGATCGCAGAGCATGAACTTGAGTTTCAGAAGAGGCGCGGGATACCGACAAACTCCAGCCCCTCGAAAAGTAACAAATTGCAGAATTGGGAAGACGCGGCTCAACTCGACGAACTGTTGGAGTCCGTGCACCTCCTCTTAGAACCTATCCAACTGCCCGACTTGAGTCACACTGGAGTCTTTGACCCCGACATGTCGCTTCTACGGCCGGTAACACCTTCTGCGTCAATACCAAAAGCGGGGGCTGAGTCTACCACCAAACTGAAGCTGAGCAAGCTCGACAAGAGCGACGAGATCAAACTTTTCTACCCCACGGGCGCTAAAAACGCCAACATGCGTGACTACATCAAGGAGACGATAGAAAAACATTTCTCCACGGAAGAGCCACCAAGTTTATGCACATCGGTATCTGCACCCATTCTCCGCTCGCCGGAGCTTGATAACCAACAACATTCAGGATCTCCGTCCAAGACCCGATCAAAGACCAAGAAGAAAAATAAATTCAAAGATATCAAGTCCCCTCTAAAGATTTCTCTAACAGCGGGGGCTTTGCTAAACCCTCACCTGACCAAGCAAGCGAGAGATGTCATCACTGCTGTTCGGGCGAATTCCTCCAAGATTAACGAGCTCATATCGAAATGAATCCCTGTACATTATTCTTTAGTCTATTCAAACTTGCAATGATATTGTTCAGCCCCTAGACTTGCGTCTTAGTGGCGTAGGAGAAGAAGACCTGAGCTTCCGCATCGTTGCGTCCAAGTCGGTGCAGACTGTACGCAGCACTTCGTTCGTCTCCTTGGTTTGGTCGATCTGAAAGAATCCCATCTCCAGCAGCTCCTTGGCTGATGGTCGTTTGCGGGGATCACGTTGCGTACACGCACGAACAAAGTTCTTGAGGTTTCTCGATGCTAAATCAGGAAGCGAATCACCAGGCAACTCCATTTCTTGTCTTGTCACGGGTGATCGGCTGGGTTGAAAGCGAGCACTGCGAGAGGGATTTCTGCCTTTGGGCTGATCAAACAGTTGTTGGGGTGGGTAGTTCACCAACCCATTTGCCATTTGAAGTGTCAGGATGCCGACACACCACACGTCCGTCTTCTCACCCCACAAACGAAAGTCCCGAAGAGCTTCAGGGGCCTATAATAAATAAAAAACAACGTAATGTTAGCCGGCAATAGCTGTCATACACGTAAATCGTTTGGAGGTACCAACCACAGTATTGTGTGCACAGTCGTCCTTAGCAAGATGTGCACGTGAAAGAAGTGGAAGCAAACAGCGTCGAATCCCGAAATCTGTGAGTTTTAGGAGTCCGTAGCTGTCGATTTGTACTGTTTGCATCGTCAAATTTCTGTATCGACACGTAACAGAGGTTATTCTGATGGTCAAAACCAGAGATTAGAGTGAGGCTTACCCGTGCTGTACGCCGTGATCGTGTAGAAATGTCAACGCCTGAAGAATCTGCAGAAGATAGCGACGAATTGTCGGCTCCTTCATGGGACCAAACGACTCAAGAATCGTCTTCAAAGTGCAGATCTGGTGGTGTTCCTGGATCACGTACAGCGAATTTCCATTCTGCAAGGTGGTCTGGTATCCAGCCAAATTCGGGTGAGTGAGCAGCCGCAGCTCGTTAACTCGATGTCGCATTTGACCCACCAGCTCCTCCGTTCCACCAAACTGAGGGAACTTCTCGGTTTCGCCTGCAAATTTCTCCAGGTCGAGTTGTTTAATCACTACAGGGATGCATGGATGTTCGTCTGATTCTTCTGGTCCAATTTGTGGTGGTGTTAAACTCCCTTCATGAATGGTGAAAATATCCTCGGCAGCGACCTGTTTCTTCAGTTTAATCCGCGGTGCATGCTGGGAAACAGGGAAAAAGAGGTAGTCTAGAAACAGTCGATAGTCGAAGTTCCGCTCAACATCTTCACCTCGAAAGAAGAAGGAGCAAAACGTGGATACTTCGTCCGCAGACCAGTCCTGAATCCGGAACAGCGAGAGCTCGGCGACTACGTTGAGCATTGCATCACTCGATACAAAGCCAGCACTATTCTGTGGAGAATAAGCATATCGTTAAATAATGATAACCCGCTACTCGTTAACTGTAACGGACCTCATCGTATCGTTCAAAGCACGCGGTTAGCCACGATCGTGCTGACTGGCTGGAGACATCCTGATCTCCACTGAAATGCCGCCCAAGCGCGACCAGAATTCCTTCTCGAACTCGACCCGCACCGGCGATCGAGACACAATGAGATGCTACACTTTCCATGCGAATGAATGCAAAACTTTTACTTGAAATGTGTTTTGTTATGGTGTATGGATAGGATGTCGTTTAAGTAGTCGCGATCTTTCAAGAACAGGAAACGGATGCAGGTAAGGAGACTGCTGCTTGTGTTGGCATGTTGCATCGATGCAAGTGGAGCTTCCAGTGCTTGGAGCACAGGCCGTCGAGTGCAGCGCGTGTGCACGTTTGAAGGTTACTATGCAATCCCAGGAGCGATTACAACGCAGCCATGTCCTGGCACACTACCCTGTCCGCCCGGATCTTACTGCACGTAAGCTGAAGTTGAAGGGACGATGACACAGCTTAAGCCGCTAACGTGTGTTTGACGTTATAGTGGCGGAGAGCGCCGACCGTGTCCTGCCGGCGTCTATGGAGCTGAGGAAGGTTTACGTACGAAACAATGCTCAGCTCCTTGCCCCGAAGGTTTTTACTGTCCGGAAGGAACTGCAGTACCGATCGAATGTGGCGCTGCAGACGTGTATTGTCCTTTAAGTTCGACGAACCCACTCCCGGTGCCTGAAGGTTTCTACGGAGTAGGAGGAGAGCCGACACTTCGACGCCGCAGTAGTATTAGTCCGTGCAATCCTGGATCCTTCTGCGTCGCTGGAACATCGCAGAAATGTCCTGCAGGGACTTATGGAACTATTGCGAAACTCATAACTTCCAAGTGCACAGATCTGTGTCCAGTTGGCCATTATTGCCCCAAAGGCAGCACTCAACCAGCCCCGTGTCCAGCTGGGACGTATGGAGATACTGCAGGCCTTAGAGATCCTAGTTGCTCCGGTGTGTGTCCTGTTGGTTACGCCTGTCCTGAAGGAACTGCGTCAGCCACGACGTGGCCATGTGATCACGATACATTCTGTCCAGCTGGAAGCTCCAAGCCTCGAGCACCTCGTCAAGGCACACATGTGGTCAAGACAACAGAGACAGAGGAAGTGCCGTGTCCTGTAGGCTCGTTTTGCAGTCCAAACGAGGCTCCAGGTGGATCGAGACTTTGTCCAGGTGGAACGTTTGGCAACGTCACGGGACTTGCAACTGCTGCGTGTTCTGGACTGTGTAAAGCAGGATATTACTGCCCTAAAGGTAGTATAAGCCCTACACAACTACCTTGTGGCAGTGTGGATGTATTTTGCCCTCCTGGTTCGACTGCTCCAACGCAAGTGACACCAGGGTATTACACTATTGGCCTAGTAATGGCTAAGAGTTCACTAACTGTGGACGAGTTGAATGCAGAACGTGCCAAAGATCGAATCACGCGCGTGGCTCAGCGAAGATGTGAACCTGGTCGTTATTGTGTGAATGGAGAGCGGTTTGCTTGTCCTGCTGGTACCTTTGGTAACAAAACAGGGCTTACTACATCCGAGTGCTCAGGTTTGTGTGCTGGTGGATACTATTGTCCAGAAGGAAGCATTGTGGATCATGCTTTAGCCTGCGCAACAAGCGTGTCTTTCTGTCCGCAAGGCTCGGCGGCACCTATCCTGACGGATACAGGATACTGCGCTATCTCCGAGGATAACCCTGCTGGAGCAAGATATTATGCTCAACGTAAGGCTAAACCAGGAGAGTTTGCGTGGAGAGGAACGTGTTATCCCTGTCCAGCGGGAATTTACGGCTCTGAAGAGATGGAGACAAGATCGACTTGTTCTGGGCCGTGTGCTGCAGGATACTACTGTCCTTCAGGAAGTACGACTCCTACTCAACATGAATGTGGTTCACCTGCTGTGTATTGTCCTGAGAGTTCTGCTAAGCCCTGGCAAGTACTAGAGGGGTACTACACGTCGTTGCAAGTTGAAGCGATCGTTCCGAATGGAACTCAAGCTCCTGGTTGCGAGCCAGGAAAGTATCGAGACTATTCTACAACTGCCAGTGCCTTCATGGACGTAGTTACTGGTCGCAGTCCTGTCGTTGTTGACTATGGGGACTACTCCTTCCCAGTGGCACGGTGTGTACCATGTCCAGACGGAACGTTTAAGCCAGAAACTGGAGACGACGTCAAGCTGTGTCTGCCCTGTCCTGAATACACGACAGTCAGCACAAGTGATCGACGTTCTTGTTCTTGTTTCCGTAAAGCTGGTGGAGAGAGTTTTAACACTTCAAAGTTCACCTTACATTTCGACAAGATAACCTTAAGCTGTCAGCTCGTGGATAAGGCGTTCGTTAATACTATCGGGGATGGCACAGCTAGCAACAACTCCGTGTACACACGCTCGGAGCAGTTTCCCTGTGAGCGAGGTTACTTCTGCAAGGATGGAGTGCGTTCTCCATGTCCTGCAGGGTATTACGGTGACAGAACGTTAGAAACTCGACCAACGTGTTCTGGTACTTGTTCGTCCGGGTTTTATTGCCCCCTTGCGAGTTGGAACAGTACAGCTCGTGTATGTGGAGACTCGAGTTTGTTTTGTCCAAGTGGAAGTGTCGTCCCCACTCCCGTTTCGACAGGTTACTACTCCGTTCGACCCCAGCCATTCGAAGCCGATATCATCGCTAAAGCTGAAGCTTCCAGCGTTGAATCATCGAAGAGCGGGGACATCATTGACGGACAGCGGGTTTGTGAGCCTGGGGCGTTCTGTATTGACGGCAAGAAGTTTTTGTGTCCTGCTGGACGGTATGGGGATAAACCAGGAGAGACTTCACCGCTCTGTACAGGGTTGTGCACTCGAGGTTATTACTGTCCCGAAGGAAGTACAAGTCCAACGCAGATGGAGTGTGGGGGCGATGGATTCATCTGTCGAACGGGGTCACGAGAGCCACTGCTCATACCACAAGGCTATTATTCTGTCGGTATCACCAACACTACACGATTCTTTCAGAGACCTTGTGAACCAGGGTATTTCTGCGCTAATGGCGTCAAGTACCAGTGTCCTGCTGGCACCTACGGTGCTACAAGTGGTCTTAGCACTGCAGATTGCTCTGGTAAGTGCGCTCCTGGGTACTTTTGCCCTTCGTATCCAGGACCGCCGAGTATCTCGAGGACACAGAGTGAATGTGGAAGCAGCGTAACATACTGTCCTGAAGGTACGGGGAATGAGCCGTTGTTCGTGAGAAGTGGGTACTATAGTGTCTTAACGAGTGGAATGGTCGACGATGGTCACAATGCGACTCAGAACGACGTAAGCATCTGCCCCAAGGGTTTCTACTGCCGTCAAGGTATTCGGATCCGGTGTCCGGAAGGAACTTACGGTGACATTGAAGGACTTAGTGCGGCGTCGTGCAGTGGCTGGTGCCCTGCTGGCTACTTTTGTCCGTACGCTACGACAGATTATCGAGTGAATCCATGTCCTATCGGGACGTACTCAACGAAAGGAGCTGCAGAGTGTATTCAATGTCCGATTTCTTCACAAAGTAGAGCATCAGTGCTGAAGACGTTCCAGTTACCCCCACTAGAGCAACCACCATGTACTACACACCGCGAATGCTGCTTCTTCGGCTAAGGAATGTAATGGTGACCTGATCAGTGCTTACGAATTATGCAGGAAAAGATTATGCCATGTAATCCATGCTGACAAACGCTTAGATTTGTTTTCTTACCTAAGGGTTCACAACGTGTGCATCACAAAGAAACAAATGTGAGATTTGGTTGATGAACGACAGGTTACAATACGTGTTTGCAAACGCTATAGTAACTCTGGAAATAAAGTCAATAGGGTAAACAAAGCAGGTGTGTCATTAGCAACCACGGGACAACTAACCTCGATCGTTCATTCTCCAACTTGACCTGTGCTGGCAACACAACTCCGACCTCGTTAAGAACAAGCACAGCGACCGCGCAAAATGAAGTTTATCCAGATCGCGCTTATCGTCGCTGCAGTATGTCTTGCTCAAGTCTGTGCTCAACGCACAAACACAATCCCCGAAAACTGCAACCGGGGCTCGTTTAACCGCAACTGCTACCGCAGCCCCACCAGCTAACCAGCTCCCAGTGCGTATGTTTTGCTAAATCCCTTCGCAATTCAGTCATGCTAAGAAGGACATCCTAATACCGGGATCCCTGTAACACGAAGGCTCTTAACAATCTTTTCCTTCAGAATCTCCTACAACTTACAACTTATGTAGTATCGGGTCACTTCTAGTATGAATAGTGTTCTGCTCCATGCACTAGGAGGAGAGTCAAAACGCACATTACGGCAGACTGTCGGTCGGTTCTTTGTGCTATCGGGACTTAATTCATGAAACTGCAGAGTGTATTCAATGCTTGATTACTTCACGATGCAGAATATCATGTCTGAAGACGTTATGGAAGGGAAGTCGACGCCCAAATACATCACAGTTACTTCTTCACTGCCTTATTTCCTTTATCCGTCGATGACCTCTGTAGGTAGTTGAAACCAATACGATCCAAGGTGTCGTAGTAAATCTTGATCAGAACGTGAATATCAAAACTGTAGCTCTTGCTCGTATCGATGCAAGTGACGAAGCTCAGCCGGGGGTGCCGCGCGTCAGTCCGCGCGTTGAAGCCTTCCGCGTCGGGAAATCTAGAGCCGGATCCCCTGATTTCATACCCGGGTCGATTTTGTTCTTTTCGTTCGTCATAGCCTTGATCGAACTTGGGACCTGGTGCTGCCTAAGAAAGTTGTACTCGTCGCTGTAAGTTTTCAGACATTCGTTCTTTGGACCACCTCGTGCCAAGTGCAGAGTGAAGCTGGACGCAGGCCAGTCACGTCTTGATGACTAGGACATCCAACAACTACAACACCAGATTTCAAGCAAAAAGCAGTTTTACGTATGAAAATGTCCTGTCACTACAAGAGCACGAAGACTAACCAGCTTCCGAGTGCACAGCTGAATCGCTACATAGGCTACACTACCGCTTAAACTGCACTCAATTGGCCCTTCAGTCTTCTTTCCAAGCAACTCTGAAGTCTTCATGGCGTCTACGTCGACGCCGTCGAACCACCAGAGTCTGTGCCCTGGGCCACCTGCAAGTTGCCCTCGTAGTACACTTGCCACAGCTGCACGAACACCACCACGTACACCACCAGCAACGAGCCGAACACGTTGGCCGTGAAGGTGGCAGCCGTGTGGTCCCAACCACAGTATTCCGTGATACTCATCTTCACCATGGGGTAGAACTGGCTCATGACGAAGAAGCCAAAGAACATGGCAGACACGTAGTTCCACGGGTTCGTGGCGTTCTCATACTCGAAGAATCGCACCAGCGCCACCACTTGACTGAACAGCAGCGTGAAGAAGAACAGCACGTTGGGGATTTCCGTCCATGACGTCTTCTGACCGGCACCAGTGTTAGCCCACGACTTGTCCTTGCCCGTCACACGCGCCTGAATAGCCTCCACAATAGCCATCATTGTGATGAACGAGAATGAGAACCACGTCTGCTGTGCACGCCACACGTCGTTGTTGTCGACAGCGCGGTTAGCGAGCAGGTTGAGCACCCAACGGCAGAACGTCACGGGCAAGAAAGAGTACAGGAACTTGGTACCACGAGCGTAAATGGGAGCGTCACCCGTGCACAGGTAGTAGACGGCGATCGACACGTAACACAAGGCAGGGATCGAACCGAACGGGTACAGCACCGAGTCATAGAAGAACATCTTACGCGGGAACGCGAGCGACGGCTTCGGGTCGGGGGCAGGCACACGCGGCGGACGCCAGTCCGGGTCGACTTCGCTTTCATTCTTCATCAACAGAATCTGGACGGCACCCTTGGCCCAACGTTTCTTCTGACCCATAGCAGCAGCGACTGTCTCGGGCACGGCACCTTCACACAGACGGATACGGTCCTTGGCATCACCTTCAAAGTCCTTACGGAAGTACACCGAGTCCCATCCAGACGTGTGCAGCACGTTACCCGTGAACGCATCTTCTGTCTGTGTACCGTACTGAATTCCACCAATAGAGTCGAACGCTTGACGACGGAAAACAGCGTTCGTACCGGCGAAAGCGGCCGAGTCGAAACCATCACGTCCACACTGCACAGCGTCGAAGAAAATGGTGTTCTTGTGTCCACAGGGGTCTCCCATGATTGTCAATTGCGGGGTGTCTTCGAAGTACTGCGGGGTCTGCACATACGACACCTGGTTCCACGAGATATCGTCACTGTATTGACGACCTCCGCCGTCAACAGCCTCGCCCTCCGAGAAGAAGAACGGCAGCACAGCCAGCAGGAACTTGGGATGCGGCTTCATATCGTTATCCAGAATCAACAGGTACTTGCCGTCTGCGCCTTCGTTGAACAGCGCGTTGTTGATGTTACCAGCCTTCGAGTGATGCGTCTCAGGCTTCATACGTCCAATGAACGTCACGCGAGGGATACCACGGTCACGGTAGTCGTAGTCGTCAGACAGCGAGCCCACAGCACAGTCACGACGCTGAACTCCCTTGCCGCCTTCCTTACGGAGCTCACGGACCGAACTGTGTTGACGACGCCACGCCTTCAAGCTCTGGTCGTCCTGGACGGGGCCAACCACACGCTCGTGCATGAGACGAGCGAGATCTCCGCGCAGATCACCAGCGATCTCAATAACCTTAGTGTTAACCGTCACCTTGAAGTGGTTGTTGGCGTCCCACACCGACTTGGTGTAACCATCATCCAGAATAAAGATATGCAGTAACTCAGGGGGATACTGCATGGCCAGACAGTTCTTGAGCGTCTGCATCGAGTCCGTCACCGGTTCCATGTAGTGACACAAGAAGATGTCGACTGTGGGCCATTGCTCCTTCGGGATAGGCGGCTTGAAGTCGTTCATGTAGCGAGCACCACGACGGATCGGACGCCACATACTGAAGTTGAAAAGCAGACCCAGGAAGTAGTTGAGGAACTCGCTGAAGATCATCATCGCGTACATGAGCCACGACATGAACGGCACGTCCTGGATGCAGTAGCCTTCACCCGAGTCAGCGTCAAAGTTGACAGTCGAACTGTAGCAGCCCGAGGTCTCACTGGACGGGAGTTCACTGCAAGGAAGCGTGGGACGGGCGTGGTCGCAGAAATACTGTTGCGGGTACATCGTAGTCAAGTAGTACAGCCAGAAGATACCGGTAGCAGCAGTACCGAAGTAGAAGACGTGGAACATGCCGCTGCCCGACATCTTGTACTTACGGATGTTGGGCGTCTCCACCGGTTCAGCCGCACGGTTAGCGATCGAGTACGTGGACATGGCAAATGAGCGGAACGACGGCTCGTAATAGTTGCGAACGCCAGCGATCGAGTCGTTGTACTGGCTCATCTTGCCGTCCGGCCCCTGGACGCCAGAGTCCATGAAGCGGATGCTGCGACTGTTGTCCTTCATGCTCACTCCGCCCTCCTTGGCGTGTTTCGGGTCCACAAACGACGTGGTGCTGAGGTACGTACGGTGAGGCACTTGCTGCCAGCGGTCGGGCACTTGGCTCTTGTTGTTCATCGTGACTGACGGCATTTGAGCCTGAGAGATGCTCACGTCCGGGTTGGCGTCTTCCGAGGGCATAGCCTCACCACATTCAGTACAGAAGGCAGTGCCAGCGGGGACAGTGGCAAAGCAGTTCTCACACACCAGACGGACACGTTCCGTCATAGTCTGAGCCGGTAGCGTGGCGCCAGTGGGGAGCTCAGGCATCTGCTCCTCCACGGGGCCAAGCTGAGCGTGAGCGCCCACGCGGTTGTAGCACATGAGACCCCAACGCATCGACAGCTGGTTGAGTCCGCCGACCACGAAGACAGCGCCCCAGACCAAGAACATGACCGTCTGGGCGCTAGAGTCGATGCCGTCCAGTGCAGCCTTGCCACCGTCCTGCATCGACGTGTAGGCCACAGTGGAGAGCACGGCACTTGAGTCGATGAGACGAGAGACGCCGTCTGCAGCCATCCAGCCACCAGTGATGGCCGAGAAGATGATGTACTTGAAGCGGTGGTTCTCCAGCTCCGACGTCTTGGACGACGAGCAGCACACGAGCTCGAAGATGATCATGAAAGCGATCACGAACTCCTGGCGAGCCAGCTGGTTGTCCTCGGGGAACACGTTGACGCCATCGTACGCGTCCACTAGCAGCAAATAGCAGGCGATAATGCCGCCTGTGACCAGGATCAGGATGTACGGGCCGAAAATCGTCATGAAACCCACGATGAGCGCGATCACGAAGCCTGCGCCGCCACCGGCGGCCACGGCAACCCACTCATTCGTGTCCGAGAGGGAGACGATGGCGGAAAAAGCTACCACAAACCCCCTGATTTGATCAAGATATAAGATATGAGAGTCAGTTATAAATAACTTCTGAAACATGTAACCGACTATCCCATGCAGAGTGATGGTTAGTTTGCACTTACATGGCGAAGGCCGAGAGGAACTGCGTGGTGACGAAGAGCGAGCGAGCGCCGAGGGACAGCGAGGACCAGCCGCCGCAGGACAGCGACACGCCGCCCAGGATGCCCACGACGGAGGCGATGATGCCCGCGCCGGTGAGCCCCATGCTGCTGGAGAGCCGCTGCTACTTTGCTGGTAGTAGAAGTGTAGGGCTTCTTGGGAGTGTCTGGCTTGTAGGTCGGTCCGACAGTCGAAGCCGATGTGGTAAGGCGCCTAGGCAGTCGACTCCAATTGAGGGGAAGAAGGCTGGCGCGCTTTGGTCTGCTGTCGAGTGAACACAAAACCAGAAATGAGGTCTTGTGGGCGCTCGGTTTCCCCTTGCCGGGTGTTTTCTCTGTGAGAGGCGGGAGTTTCCTCTGGCGTGCGATCGGTGAGATAAATTACCGTAATTTATTATGAGAATCCATAACGGAAAAAAGACAAATGGCTAGAGACGGGACGCCGAGCTAAAACTGGCTTCATTCTGCAACTCAGGATTCGACAGGAGTTTCACTGCCAGGAATATCGGCGTGAATATGGCTCGTGTGAAATTTGCTGTTGTAGTTGCCTACGCTGTAGCTGCAGACATCTCGTGCCAGTTGTGAGCAGGGTAAATTGATTCATCGCTACGTGTAGTGTGGTGAACTTTGCGTTATTTATAGTCCGAAATGGATTGCATCACGGGATATCCCGGTCAGCGTTGCTCTCCGCGACAACACGAGGCGCCCCGACTAACGCAGCGGAAGAGACTGGTTCCGCATGCACGCACGCATGTGGCGGCAAGCGTAAAAGGCCTTGTCTCTCTGAGCAATTCGCTCCACCGTCATGTGGTGTAGCAATTTGCGAGATCCACTACCGCCGTGTGCAAAGCCATCGGATCTGGGTGGCCAGCACTGTTCAGCGATCCACCTGTACCCATATGACATGTGTGATTCCAGCCGTCAGATAATTCAGCTGCGACGATAAGATAGGCTTGAGATCTAAATTCTACATGTACAGATAGTATACTACTACACACGTAGAATTTCTGCAAGCAGCTTGATCGCCTACGAGACGCTCACCGGTGTGATCTCCGATGGAGTGACAACAGCGTCGTCCGTGCGAGTTCGACGCGCGACTGGTGCCCCGTTTTGCTCGTTCGCGTGGCATCGACAGCGTTGTTAAAGCAGCGACAGCTACGCGAGCTTTGGCGCGAGCCAACGAACTGAAGCACTTCAACCAGGCTGGGCTCGCGCCCTTGACGCTGAGCGGGGCGGTGGCAACGACGACACTTTCGGCGCGGCACCGCAGCAGCTACATGTAGAGCGCTCGTGTTGCCGCAGAATTCAGGCCGCGCTGATGGGCAACCTTCGAGTCATGCCCAAATATTCTAGATCAAATATTGCCTTGATCGATCGAATCAGAAAAATCCACAGTCCATCTGCTTGATCCACGACAATTGCCCGAAAGGCACCGCCATGCACGGTAGCGGAGGAGCTATTGCACCGTGCAGAGCTGCTGCTCGCCGTGCACTCCACCGATATCATCATCGTGTGACTGGCAACGAAGCACCAAGACGAAGCGCGCAAAATTGCACCGAGACAAACTTCATCAAGACGAGCAGCAGCAACTTCAGTCAGTGGTTTCCGAAATTTTGGCCGTGACGATCGCGTCAATGGATGAACCGTCGCTGGCCATATGGTGTGAACTGACTTGTTTTTTTGCCGTCATTTATTCGGTAATTTACGCTGGTTCCGTTTTGCCTTGGCAACCGCCGCCCCATTCAGGCTCTCCCCCCACTCTGTATTTTTCTCTTGGCGCAGTCGAAAGACGAAGACAGAGCTCACCACCCGAGGCGCGGGCGGTCCCCTTGATAAATAGTCCAGAGTTTGACACAGATACACTAAATCATGCCGTTCGGCCGCCGCTGCTTCGCGCTGCTGGCGCCGCTACTGCTGGCCTCGGCCGTGCAGGCCAAGAACTACTTTAACCAGTCGGCAGGCTACGTGATCGAAATCTCCACGGACGACTGGAGCAACTACGACAAGAATGGCGGCTGCGTGACGTGCCCGTACACGTGCATCGCGCCCACCGAAAGCTACGACGGCAGTACCATTAACGCCAGTAACACGACCATGACAGCGTCGCTGCCCAGCATCTACACGCAGGTCAAGAGCAACGGCTGCTGCTACTCATCGACCTCCACCACGCAGCCCTCGTGCTCCACGGAGGCTTCCCCCTCTACCGCTGAGAACTGCGGCTTCCTGTACGGCCCCACGCTCGAGTGGCGTATCAACAACGCGCTTAAGCCGCTGAGCGACTCCATGACCGCCATCCTCTTCGCCTCCACGGACTGCGAGACTTTCTGGGCCGTCGGTAAGCAGGACATTCGCTACACGAGTAACACAAAGAGTATCAAGGGATCCAAGATGATCCAGAGCGGCTGCTATGGTGACCCTAGTGGCACTCCCATGATCCTCAGTGGCTGCCTCACTAGTCAGTTGACCTACTCTAAGACCAAGACGTACACGTGGAAGAACCTGGCCGAGAAGTGCGAGGGTCTCGCTGGACGGTGCGTCATCACGAACGCTGTCTGGGAGAAGCATCTCGAATGCTGCACGTCACGTACGGGTCTGGCCTCGGACTGGGACACGACGTTCGAGACGTACACCAAGACTGCCTCCAAGACGACCACGCTGAGTGGGGCTGCAATCACGGCCATCGTCATCGGCGGCGTGGCGCTGCTCATGTGTCTCATCCATTTCGGCGCCAAGGTGCGTGAACGCGCTCGCCAGACGGCTCTGATGCGCGAACAGGAGGCCACCGACGACTACGAGGAGATCATGACGCCGCTGACGGCCGGCGAGAAACAGCCTGTGGCACTGCAGCGTCCCATCGGCCCTGCCAGTCTGGAAGTCTCACTGCACGAGGGCGACCAGATCTACCGCAAGAAAGAGGACGAGGTGCTCTTCGAGGGCGACATGTACTAGGTTTTCATATTCCCTCAGGACAGTGCAATGTCGTTTGGAAATTGCTTCTTGTCTCGCTCAAAATTCATCCCTATTTTGTTTTGTCTAGACTTATGGCGTTGCTTCTGTTGTTTTTGCTGTGGCAAGTATCAAATGCTGGTCTAGATGCTGTCTACGTCGTCCTGGCTTAGGCCTTCGTAGCAGGTGAGACCCGCTGCATTCTGGGTCGTGTCCTTCGCTCCCTTCGCCTTGAGATATTCGGCCAGATCCGTGTGCTTGTACGCATACAAGTAGTGCAGTGCCGTGTTGCCGTTCAGATTCTGCAGGTTCATATCTGCACGACGGCGCAGCAGAAACTTGGCCAGACGTTTGTTGCCCTGTTGGCACGCAAGGATGAACAGCGTGTTGCCATGGTTGTCGCGTGTATTGACATCCACGCCCTGGTCCAGCGCCAGCTCAAGCTACAGAAACAAACGTGAGATCGAAGCACAAAGCAAAATGGTGCAATTTTAAGCCACGTACGCCTTCGAGGTTGTTGTTGCGAGCGCAAAGTAGAGCGCGAGCCTCAATCTGCTCCTTGGTCTCGTTCTGCTGGCTCGGATCGGGCTCGAACAAGTCGTCGGTCGGTTCTACCGACACTGCTCCACGTCGAACAACCGCATTGGGCGTCTCTGCTGTCTGTTGGGAGCGCAGCAGTTCGGCCCATTGTCTCTTCTTCTCATGTAAATCCTCCGATGCCCGCGGCACGAAATGTGCTCGCAACTCGGGAATGAACTCAGGTGGGTCATAAGGGGAACAATCGGCCGGATCCAGCATACCAACGGGGGTAGCGTGGTTAGTTTGGTTGATAAAACTCGAGCGAGGACCCTCCGTGTGTGTGCTGTACACGCTCCGAGCGAAATTTGGTGGCAACCGCGAGGTTTTGAGTCGTTTCCAGCCTTCACCACGATGATTCACCGGCTGAAGAGTCTTGGCTGGCAATTGAAGCTGCAACTTCGCCATCTTGGTGGCTATCAGAGTTGACTTGGACCGGTCCATGCCTTCATCCACCAACGCGGCCATTTCGTCGTTTAAATCAACTTGTCGCGCGTCATTCTCGTCCTCTTCGTCTTCGAAAAAGTGACTGGGTTTGCCTGACCGTGCGGTGGCTCGAGATGTCGGTCGGGATCGAGACGTCAAGCCCAGTTTCGCTTTAAGTTGGTGCAAGAATTGCTCATCTTCCAGCAGAGATCGCATCAACTCATTTTGCGCCTCTGAGTTCACTCGCTGCTTGGTGGTGATAGTAGAAACAGTAGAGCTAACTGCGCTTCGAGAAGTGAAGGACTTGGAGTCTTCGTCGTCGTTTTCCTCATTTACAACCCATTCCTCCGGCTGTTCCCATAGAAATCGATGCGTCACGGGTAGTCTCTCATTCAACGAGTGGTAGAACACAACACCACTGGAGTCGACAGTGATCTCTCGCATCTCCCACAGTCCTTGCTGCTCTAATACAATAGACTGAGTCATTCTTTGAGCCCACTCCTGTGCAATAGCGTCTTCCGTAGCGCTGTTGACTCCACCTTTGCTTCGAGCTTCAGCTTGAGCTGCTACAGCCTCGAGTTCCTGCTCTAACCTTTTCTGCTCTTGTCGCTTCGCTTCCAATGCCAGTCGACCGGCCTCGAGCTTCTGCTCAATCTCATAGAGTTTCTTCTCGTAAGCTGCACGAGCCTCACGCTCTGCTACCATCGCCAAGTAACTCGATAGTCGAGCTCCTAGTACGTCTGCCATGGTCTCATGACTCATGACCACACTGAAGTACGTGGGATCGTTGGGTCCACTAGTCAAGTGGTTCTGTATGATGTATAGCAGATCCTTCTCCACACGACGCCGACACAAGAGATCCTCAACGGGATCTACCTCATGCCAACAGTATCGACCACAAACACCCGGGGCGTTCGGATGCGCGATAGTGACGCTGCAATACTGCGCAACAACGTCGTAACGTGGGGTCACAGTACGTCCTTGTGTCAGCAAAAGCCACTGACGAAAGGTATGTCTATCTGAGAATTCGCTCCAGCCTCGACGGTGTCCCACAGGTGAAGAGGAATGATCTACGAGTTGCAGCCAGTGATCTTCTTCTTGCGCTGCATCGTTAAGTAGTGTAATAGTACCAGGTAACAACTCGTCGAGTACTGAATCCAAGCGTGTACTTAACAGACTACCACGACAGGGAGAAACAAACGCCATTACTCGACCAAAGCCTGTTTCGGCCTCTGCAAGGCTGTAAACCGCAGCTTCAAGCTCCGGAGGTGGCATCTTCGAACCAACATGCCATGCAAGCCACAATGGAGACAGTATCGGTGTGTCTAACGCAAGTACCAGCATCACAACTATGGCGTTTGAGGACGATAGCTTGCTGTTACGCTCAAACATAGCCACAGTTTTTGTGTATTCAGGAGGTTCACCTTCTTCAGAGATTTCGTCTGGATCGTATCTCCACCAAAGCACAGGTCTGTTCCCCACAAGTGTCACTCCCGGTACTCGTTGTAGAGCATTTGGGTGGTTTTCAGGATCCCATCTACCGCAAATCAACAAACTCAATGGCTGGAAAGAATTGCGTCTTGACGAAGGTTTTCGTCGCCGAGTGGTTGTAGATCTTAACAATGAGCTGTTTTGCGGTGGTTGTCGATAGGAAGACCCGCTTTCGATGGACACGGCCCGTTTCAACGCTCGTTCACTGGAAATCGACTGAATCTGTGAATATCCTTCTCGTATCGCCCGTTCATCTCGTCGACCACTTAGCGCGTGGCTTTCAGGATCGATCCGTTCACTTTCTTCTTCTGGTGAATCCAGTATACGATGTCGTGTAGGTCGGTGGTTAAAGTGATCAAGATTCGTGAGCCAAATGTGATTCACGTCGAAAATGAACGTTTTTGTCAGATTTCGCTTGCGAGTTTCGGCTTGAATTCGCAAGTTCTCAAGGTTTTGAAGCGTCTCAAACAATGCACAAATTGGGTGTCGTGTCACGATAGGAATTACAGCAAGACTCGCTTGTTCTTTAGCGTTTGCAGTCCCCCGCGCCTCAATTTCTTGCTGTTGCCTTTTCAGCTCCACATAGGCAAACCACAATTTCTCTCGATCTTTTTCACTGCGGTATTTGACGAATAAATCATCTGACAACCAACTTGTGGGTCCTTGCAACTCCATGGCTGTCAGAAATGATAGGGCATCCCCCTCGATACTTTTGGCACTTTTGCCGGTTGGATAAACTCGGGAATGATGTTCACAGCCAGTCATCTTGTCAGGTTTGGCCCAGCACGCGTTGCACATTCGCTTGTCAACAGCGTGATCTGCTCGATGAGCTGGAGATGCTGCCCCTGTCGGGTCATGCAGTCCCATCTTCCGCAGTAGTAGAGCCACATTTTCCACGTCGTGCAGCGTCTTCTTGAGCTTCTGGCCAGGTGATGCCCCTGCAGACCCGAATCCTCCCGTGTCGGCTCGAAGTTTCGTCAGTGACTTGTACAACGGCGATTCGAGCAGCTTAAGAGCCGATGAGCGTTTACCTGGTGTGTTGTTTGGACCTGGCGCCTGTTTTCCTTTTCGGTTGATCGCTGGGAGTTGCAGTGGCGAGTAAATGCTCCCAGGTGGGACGGAAGCGACTGGAGAGCGCGGAGGTGGCAACCTTGGCAATGATCCATCGTCACTCGAATCTTCGCTGCGACTTGGTGAGCGTGGACGCTTGATTGGCTGCTGGTTGCTGATGACTGGAGATATTGGAGCAGGAATGATGAGAGAGCCACCTGAAGCATAGGTGACTCGCAACTCTTCTCGCGTGGGCGTGATACTTTTGCCATTGGTCTCTGGTGCAGCTTGAGTTGATCCCTTGATGAGCGCCACACGATCTCTGGCAGCCTGTTGCTGCTGTCTCTTGTTCTGCTGCTTGAGGATCTTCCGGGCGCTGGACTCGACGCTATTGAGGAACGTAGTGAGATCATCCATCGTGCTGCAGGGAGTAGCAGTCGAGCATGGTCAGTAGATTTATGCACACGAAGAGGCACAACCGTTTCTTTCGGTACGTCTCATATCAGGTGAGTAGACTACCGCTGCGGCAACCAGTAGTACAAGTAGAACCAAGCCCACCATTTTTCTCAAGTACGCTACGCAACGTTCATTCAATCAATACCTCTGCATATCCCCACTAACCTCTTGCTGGGTTAATGCGAAAAAACTACCCTAAAAATCTACCCACGTCCCACCACCGGAACGTGCCAATAAATCCGAAAATTGCTTTAGTTCTTGAGCGTCACACGAGACTTGAATGCGTCGTAGCGGCACTTGCCGTAAGCCAAGAAGTCAAAGTCGATCGTCGACTGAGATGCCTGGATGTAGCCCCAGAGGGCCCAGAACAAGTGCGATGCCAGCGAGTACGTGTTGGCTTCACGTCGCAAACTCTCGATCTCGTTCTCGCTCACATCGTCCTCCTTGCCGTTCTTGCCTGCCAGATACGCGCGGCAAAAGTTGCGCTGCTGTTCCTTCGTCGGGTATTTGGTAAAATCGCCCAGATGCGCGTTCACCGTCTTGTGGTAGTCGTACGCCCACTCGCAGAAGTGGTTGCCCAGGTCATATCCACGCGGATTGTAGCTCGTGTACTCAAAGTCGATGAGCACGGCGTCACCGGCGTCGTTCTTCATGATGTTGCCATATTGCAGGTCGTTGTGGCTCAGTACGATGGGAGATGGTACCTCAGCCAGGATCTTCTCCATCTCATCCACGTCTGTAGCCACCTGCTTGAAATCCAAAATGCCTTTGAACTTCTCGGCCGTGCACTTCACGCGTGCCACCTCCAGCAACTTGCGGACACTCGAGATGTATGTGGGTTTGCGGTCGATGTCAATGTCCAGCTCGTGGAAGACACGCAGCTGCTTGGCAATGATGCGAGACTCCTCGGCCTGCCGCATGCGCTTGCTCGTGTATGTGGAGCCGTGGATAAGCTTCTCGGCTCTTCCGTTGGCGAACTGACCCAGCAGCTCCACGCCGATTTTCTTGTCGCTCAGCAGCTGGAACAGACGCGTCTCCTCCACGCGCGAGAAGAAGGATTCGGTGCCCTCGCCGTACACACGCACGAGGACGTCACGGTCTTTGCCCTCGGGCTTGTGCACAGCGAAGATGAGGTTGGTCATGGCACCGCCGAGATGTTCCACGTCGACAGAGTCAGGCTCTACGTCGCTCCAGGTGGGGATGCATTTGGTCAGCGTGGAGACGATGGATGCCTGCAGCTTGAGCTTGGCCTTGTCAACGATGGCCACGGCCGCCAGGTAGGGGGCGACGACCACGGCCGCGTCTGTTGTGCTATCGTTGTTGTTGAACGCCATGGGTGGTTATGGCCAAATGATGCAGGCGAAAGTGTCACTTGAGCTCAACGAGGCAAATACTGGAATGACGCGGTGAAAAACATGGATTCACCCACGGATCTTCAAAATTGATCTTTGGTTTCTCTGATTTAATTCGTACTTATTCGAGCCACTTAGTAAATGCAAGTGGTTTTCTCAAAAATCAACAGCTGTGGGAAGCTTTTCCGCGACGTGGGGCAGAGAAAACGTCCCTGAGGCTGAGCGGGGGCTCGCTTGTGCATGCACAGCCTTCGAGAAGCGAAAATTGCCATTTGCGGCGAGAGAGGAGCCTTGTTGACTGATTGGAGTCGAAATGGCTGGATGGCAAACCCAAGTGAACGGCGTGTTCAGAAAGATCGAAGCGCCACGTTGCACGCTGCGTGGATACAGACGCTTCGTGGTAAGCCGAGTCCAAGTTCGCAGCGATGGCAAGTACCGATGATCGCCACCGGGACTGCAGCAAGCCCCGATCAGGACGTGGCAGCCATTATTCGTGAGTGATTGCAGAGCGGGCAAAAATTGCCCGTGTCCAAAACCAGCTGTCCCATCATCCCCTTCGACACGCTCGAGGTTTGGCAATCACCACGGGGCTCGGCTGGGACCGTGATATAGATAGTGTTCTCTGTTAGTAGTGCATGGGCGTGTAGACCCCTACCTCCACGCTCAACTACACCGTAAAGTTGATCGCAGTTTTGCCACCGATAGCGTTGCTGAAAGGCGCTGCCCAGTTGAGACTTTCACCCTGCGCTCAATGCATTTCGTGACGCGCATCAAATCACTCCAGATGGCAATCAACAAAGGACCCACAAGTGCGTGGCCACTGTTGCAGCAAAGGTATCCTGTGTATCATTAATTCTGGCCTCACTGGGCTTATACAGTACGTCAAACTGTGACGGTCAACGTAGTTCACTACATGTACGCTGCGATCGACCCTTACACGCGGTGGAAGAAGGCGTTGCGCGTTGAGCTCGGCGGCGTGAGAACGGCGTCCATCTGGACGTCTGAGTGGCGTCTGCGCTGGTTGTGACGTTTGCGGCGAGACCAAACGATAGCGACGCCGACGACCACACCCGCGATCGCGACAGCGGCAACGACACCGGCAATGATTGCAGCGCTGCTAGCGGTGTCCGTCACACTCGCATCGGCCGTCTCGATGTAGTGCGACGCACCAGTGTCGGGATTACCCCACACGCAGCCCCACGCCCCCGTGTCGATCTTCTTACACACGCTGTCGGTGGGGGCCACGCAGTTGCCGTTCTCAAAGCTCGGTAGATAGTCGTGGCAATCACGGATAGCCACGTCGCCAGTCACTGGACAACGGTCACCAACAGGTTCATCGCCGTCGCCGCTGCAAATGGCTCCTGAGATGCAGTACGTTGCGTCGCCTTCGACACTCACTTCGGTACAGTCATCCGGGTATCCCGTCGTCTCGGTTGGTGAAGGTGTTGGTTCACTACCTTCCTCGACAGGTGTGGATTCTTCATCTGAGCTTGCTTCACCACTTTCGAAGGGCGTCGACTCCTCATCTGTGCTTGCTTCACCACTTTCGAAGGGTGTTGATTCCTCATCTGTGCTTGCTTCACCACTTTCGAAAGGTGTTGATTCCTCCGTCTCGTCGTCCCATACGCAGCCCCAGGAATCAGAGCTGACCTTGTGGCAAACGCTATCACGCGGAGCCACGCATTCGCCCTTCATGTAGCTCCGCATACCTTCCTGGCAATTAGCAACAGCAACATCACCTTTCAGTGGGCAGTAGTACCCAGTAGGCTTCTCGCCGTCGCCGGTGCACGGGAGACCTTCGGTGCAGTAAGTAGCGTCACCTCCGACGCTAATGTTGGTACAGTCGACAAAGTCGGATCCAGTGAAAGAATCAGTCTCATCGTTGCTGTCGAAATCGCCCAGGAGATCATCGTCGTCAAAGGGGGTCGACTCCTCACTACCAGACATGTCATCGGTGTACGAAACAACTTGGTCAGTGGTATCCATAGTATTAACCAAGGTAATTGTTCGTTGGCTTGAGGGTATTCGGGCGAATGCGAAAATGAAGTCTACGAAACCAGTAGCGGCTCAAGTAGGTTGTTACTGTGACGGTTCTGAGGAGCGCTCCTTAATGGGAGTGTGGGGCTCCAAGTTGCCTACACGAGCTAGCAGTTCAAGGAGGAGAAACGCGAAATCTAAAACGTCTTGCGTCTTGTCAGCGTACTCGTTGGAAACCAACGGCGCTGAATGAACAGTTCACATAGTGGCCAGAATTGCAGAAATGCTGGTTAGTTAGATAATTGGGGCCCTTTGGGCTTTGCGATGAAGCAAGTGGCTCCCCGAATTCTATAGTCGATATCTAACCACAGTTCTGGCTAGAGCAAGCAGCGTCATGCGTCAAGTGGCTGTATGTACAATCTCAAGTAACGGCACATGAAGTGACTACTTGCGAAAATGCTTGTCGACGAAGATTTTTTGCAGTGGACATGGATCTTCGTGTGCATGCTAGTGTCGGTATGTAGTTCGTGTGACACAAGGGGGGGGGATTAACAGTTATTTGCTGGTGGAATCCCAGAATTCACTGGAGTGTCGAGCTGTCTTGACAGCTTACAGGGTGATGAACAGCAGTCGTCTAGGAAGTTGTTTCAGATCAAGATATGCGACCCGATCGTTTTTGTGACGACGATGGTAGTCGCGTGCAGCAAATAAGTTTCACGATCCTCCGTCGTTTTCTGGATGAGGAACCGAATTGCCACTAGGAAACATTGAGGAGGCGCCTCTTTCGCTTCTTCACCGTCTCGATTCTCTGCGTCACAGAAAAGCAGTTTTCGTGACCGTTGTAGTATCATCAATTATTCCAGCCTTGGGTGCTCTCGGGTACGGTCATATCACCAACTGGTGGGAGCGATTAAGCTGTCGGCGTGTGAATCCACTCCATCGTGTGAAAGCAGCCCGAGCATTTTGAAAAGATATTGCGATTGGAAGGCTAAAACTAGCAAAATCTTTCAATTGATAACCTTTTGTTTTATTTCGATTGATGTCCTTGCTACAGGCACTAGTATTAGACATCACACGGCGACTGATGAGCCCGTCACATAGATCGCAATGGGATGCGGACGATACGTGTCGACCTGCCCCAACATTCTCTAAACGCTTCTAGTTGAAAGTCCACAACGGCACGAAGCAAGTTGAAGTTGTCTTCCCGAATAGTGGCCCCTCTCACTTCACATTATGTGCGACACACCATTTCGCTGGAGCAACCTTTCTTGTTAGCTTGGTTTTTGTAAGATAGCCTCCCCGCCACCTTGGGGCAACATCAGAGATACACTTCGTACATTCAGACTGTCCCGCCATGCCGCGTAGCGTGAAGATGACCCCGGACGCGCCGGGCGTGACCATCAAGGCAGCGGACGGACGCGAGCTGACGCTGAGGCGTGGTCAGACGTTCCTAGACCGCCCCACAGCCACCGCCTTCTTCCAGGACTTTGCCAAGGCGCAGGGCAAGCGTCTCATCATTAACAAAAAGAAATCTGGCGGCGCTCAGTACGAATACGTCTGTGCCAGTACTGCACCGCCCTGCCAATTTCGCATCAAACTACTCAAGAGCCGCAGTGCGCACAGCTCACACTTCTTCGTCAGCTCCTTCATCGCAGAACACGTGCCAGACTGCGCGGGAGCTCCCAAGCTGACGGTGCGTCAAGCCGCAGCTGTGCTATTGGGCGACGCCGAAAGAGCGTCGAGTTCTGCTGCAGCAGCCACCGTCTCGAGTGTCAAAGAGCTACAGGAAAGGCTACAACAGACTAGCGGGGAGACTATATCAGCCAGGAAGGCGTACCGTGTGCGAGACCGGATCCTGCGCCTAGCAGCGGGACAATTCACTAAAGGATTCCAGAAACTGGAGAGTTTATTGCTTGGATTCCAGACCAAAAACCACGGAACGCATGTATCTTTTGAGACGGACCAAACGTCGGGTATGTTTAAGAGAGCGTTCCTAGCACACCCGTTTGTAGCAGTGTATCAGCAGTCCAGAGGCCTCCAACCTATGCTCGGAATGGACACAGCTCCTCTCGTGAGTATGAACTACCGTGGCCAGATGTTCGTATTGCAAGGGAAAGATGGCAACAATGAGGTGATCCCGCTTTGTGTCGCAGTGGCTCCACAAGCGGACGCAGACAATTGGCGGTGGTTCTTGATGCATTGTCAACAGGCACAGGTGGATTTCTCGAGATTTAAAGTAGTAGCGGACAGGACGAGAGCGCTTCTCGCAGCAACAGAGGGACTGGGGTTGCCGTTGAGGCAGTGCACGCGGCATATTATCTCGAATCTGAAGATTATGGTCAAGAACTTGGCCACCGTGCAGGTGGAGGACTTGGTGTGGCGCGCACAGGCAGCAGACAGCGAGGCGGAGTTCAACTCGTGTCTAAGTATGATCGGACTAACCTGTCCAGCTGCAGAAAACTATTTACGAGGTATCGATCCGCGGACATGGACATTATTCTGCGCTGCACAGCAAATTAAACTCTACGGCTGGAACTCGACGCTTTTCTCAGCGGACGACAACAAATCTATGCTGTCTCTGGCCCCATACGACCTCATGCAAGACTACATGGAAAAGTTCATGACTCTCGCCTACAACCAGAGTGTTTATGCTAAGAAATGGGTCAAAGAAGGCAAGAAATTCACAGAGTACGCGGACAAACTGCTAGCAGAGCAACGAGACGCTGCGAATTTCCAGGTTGTGCAGCCATCCGACGACGGCATTATCTTCGTGACAGAGTCCCGATCTTTTCCGCCTCGACGCTATCGTGTCGACCTGAATCAACGCGTGTGTTCATGCGCGTATTTGTTCCAGATGGGTGTGCCATGCCGCCATTTCCTTGCTGGATTAACGTTTTTTAAGCGCTCGAAAGAGGAGGCAAAGTACGTGGACACATGCTACTGTGTCAGCACATTCGCGGATCAGTATGACAATCAGCGTACGAGTAGTATTGAGTTGATACTGGAGTCGGAGCTGGAAGAAAACCACGCGGTTAAAGCGCCTGTAGTCGCACGCAAGCGTGGGCGTCCCAGGTCGAAGCCGTTTCCTACAGGTGAAACGTTGATGACTCCCGCGGTTGCGAGCGCCCTTCTGAATGGCGACACGAGTTTGTTGGTGGATAGCGATGACACCTGCGCGAAACGGAGGTGCTCGAGTTGCGGCAAGGCTGGACACAGCAAGCGCACCTGTGGGCAAAACGCATCTGTGCCTGTTCCAGTTCCGTTGGCGGGTGAAGTTGCGCCCAATATGATGATTTAGATTGCTTAGTTTGTGGTTGGAGTTGAGATTCTCAGATATGGTGATGAAGTCGATGCACTCAAGTTAAAAGTATGGTACGCAATAAACAAACACGTCAACCAAGTCCCAGAACACGGTTTTGCTTCAACTTTTTAGTCCAGATTCTCCAAATTAATACTGCCTTCTCATTATCAAATCAAACAGCTCAACTTTGTACTACCATTACGACGGCGGTGACGCTTTGCTCTTCGATTTCGAGCACACAAGCTACGAATGATTTGGACAGCCACTTCATCACAAGACGATTTCATCAAGGTAAGTACTTGACTCAGGAACAACAGCGCAACTTCTGATGCCCCTATGTGGCTAAATATGTGAGCGGAATAACATCGAGAACCTGAGGTTGGAGGCCAACACGTTCATGATGGCGACCCATTTGTATCGAATCTCTTCGATCTTGTGTACTTTGGTGCTAGCTACTGTATCGCAGTCACTCAAGTTAGGCATACCTTTGCGCCACTACCTCCCCTTGATGCGCAACAAATTATCGCCGACAACCACCGTCATCTACATCGTTGACACCACGATCGAGAAGCAAAGAATTTTAGTACCAATCCGGCTGTAACATGAACTATACATGTATGTACTGAACTACTTCGAAGTATCAGCATCATCGTCAAGACGATCAAGGCATCGCGCGACGAGTCCACGATCGAAGTTGCGATCCTGCCCAACATCAATGAGAATGCCTCTGGTCACCGGTCTGACAAGACCACACAAGATGGCGAAGTTGATGGACGCAAGAAGGAGCTAGCTGGATATTCAGGAAACGGCAACGACGACGTCCCAACGCCACCAGTAGAGAGCAAAAGCAACAGCATCAAAAGATACTGCATCAATCTCCAGTCCTCCACAGTACACTCTCTGTCTTGAACGTTCTTGGATTGTCGAGCCAAACCCTTAATTTCGTTATGAAAATGCTTTACCTGATCTAGTGACGTAAGTGCGTAATACACCCATGACGACACTTCCAACAATGTGTCCAAATATCTTGATGACTCGATTAAAACGAATACCCACGATGCGTGTCATATTAAAAAAAAAAGATTCAAAATAGGCGAAGAAGACGACGAACTACTAGCTGCTGGGAATCGACAGCTTGACACGCCTGAGAGATTCAACTCGACGTCCTTCTTCAGTTCGAGACGCGTCCTAGCGTAACAGACCGTAGGCGACCTACCGCCTCCTGCGTCGACCCCCTTTCAATCCCATTTACGGGGTCACGACATCGACAAACGTCTCGAGATAGGCGCGCTCCGCTGCCTCCGCCGAGTGCTTCTGGTGCTGCTTGTACAGCGCAAAGCCGGCCACAGCCGCAACGCAGCCAGCAGCAGCGGCGATACCGGCAATGGCACCGCCCCCCAAGCCGCTTTCCGACTTCTTGCTCTCCTCAGCAGCCAGCATGGTGACGTTGGCGGCAGCGCTGCCGCTTCCAGCCTCAACTGTGCCCTGGCCACTGGCGCTTCCGCCCGACGAGAGCACGCAGCCCCACGCGCCCGTCTTGATCACTTGGCACGTAGAGTCTACGGGCAGCTCGCAGGAGCCACCGCTAGAGTAGCTGGCCAGGTAGTCGTAGCAGTCAGCCGTGGCCACATCGCCCTTGACAGGGCAGCGCGAGCCCGTAGGCTCAAGACCGGAGCCGCTGCAGATAGGGCCTTCAATACAGTACGTGGCGTCGTGCTCCACACTCACCTCCCAGCAACCCGAGACCGTGGTGGTGGTGTTGGTAGTAGTGGTATTGTTGGCCGTCGCAGTACTCGCCAGGAGCGCCGCTGCCAGAGTCGCGATCGTGTAGGTCTTCATTCCTTGGCTGTGTGCTGTAGAACTGGACAAGCTGGAAGCTCTTGTGAGGCTGCTGCACTTGCTGTTTGCTGTTGACGCCCCGCTGCAAATTCGAGAATGGAGACTGACCGAAAGATGTGAGGCAAACGTAAAAGAGGATGGGGAGAGCCTGAGGATCGGGCGAGATCGATCTGATGTCACGGCTGATAGACTCGTTTACGGGCGTCGAAGCAACGCTCCTCGAGCGATACTTTGTAGTAACAACACACTGGATATTCATGTAACTAGCCGTTCATGGAGATCGTCGCAGCAGCCTTCATCAGCCCCCTCTTCGTTGCTAGGCTCTCACTCGCTCTCCATTCGAATGGCCACCCCACCGCGAGACAATCTGGATTATGGCTTCTGCGCCGGCCGCCTCCTTGAAGATTTGTCTGGACTGACACCAAATTGAAGACACCCACCAGACACTTGTATGGAGACCAAAAATACATGACACTGCAAGAACGTGTTGTCATTGCCGCTCCCAACGTCTCCTGTGTCATCTTGCCGGTATTTGCCAGCGGCAGTGTCACTCACCGTCGTCCGATGACTCGTCGTGCCAACGCGGCATCAATCAACGCGATGCGGCGAGATGGCAGTACAACGTCAAGCTCACCTGCGGGAGCTGTTGCCTTGTCGACGATAATTATCATCCCTTGCACATGTACATTTATATTAATAAGAAGTATTAATACGCAAGTGTACTTACCTCCTTGGATGGCAAAGGATACAAAAGGCTGAGGAGAATGCATGCGACGCAATCTTCGCAGCGATTCACCAGTGTGTATATCTTCAGCTTTGCATGATTACGCCGTGTGACAATTGTGTATTAATGCAACTGCATTTTGACAAAAATCTCGGAAAAATGATGATGCATTTTACTGAGGAAACGATAGCCCAAAACTAAAATCTCAAAAAGTCTCGTAAGCAGACAATGAGAGGCGGCTAACCTCGCTGTTGTCGTCGACGCTGCCGTCGAAATGCTCGCCGTCTTAGGGCGTCACGACGTCCACCATGGTCGTCGACTCTTCCTCCTCGTGCACCTTCTTGGCGTGCTGGCGGTAGATAGCTACGCCTGCAATAGCTGCCACAGCCGCGGCCGCCGCAGCGATCGCACCGATCACACCCGCCGAAATACTACCAGCCGAAGCCGCCTCCGCTCCTGCCACCAACGTCGAGATGGTTGCATTGCCCCACGATCCGCTGCCAGCGCCACCGCCACCGCCACTGCTACTGCCGCCATTGCCTCCGTTGCCGCCATTTCCACCGTTACCTCCATTGCCTCCGTGCCCACCATTGCCTCCATACCCACCATTGCCTCCGTTACCGCCATTGCCACCGTTGTGGCCGTCGTCCCCACTATTATCTCCGCCGTTGCCGTACTTGGTTGGAGCTGGGGTGGGGCTGTCGTACTTGGTAGGGGCGGGCGTCGGATAGCTGCTGCTGGGAATGACGCAGCCCCAGGCACCGGTGTGGATGACCTGGCAAGTGGCGTCCACCGGCAACACGCACTTGTCTCCGTCCGCGTAGCTGGCCAGGTATGAGTGGCAATCGGCGATGGCTGTGTCGCCCTTGACGGGGCACAGTGAGCCGGCCGGGTACTGCCCGGAACCACTGCAGATGGGGCCGTCAATGCAGTAAGTGGCATCGTGCTCGACACTGATGGGCCAGCAGCCGAGCTCCTCGTCATAGTAAGGCTCTGTGCTGGTTGGCGCCGGAGTTGATGCCTCATAGGCGGATGCTGTAGCGAGTAGCGCTGTTGCTACGAGGCTGTAGCTGGAGATCGTCGAGACCTTCATCTTTGATAAAGTTGTTGCTGTGTTGCTGAGGACTCGATCTGTCGAGTGCTGGTCTGTCGCCTTGGTCGCAAAATGAAGAATGACCTGGAAATCTTGCAGGTTGTTCTCGCTTGGCAATTGCCACCACCACACATACACACAGCAAATTCTGAAAGGCAACTTGTTGTAGAAGACGCGGTGTTGGATCCAGATCACAAGGGGATGGGTGCCGCCACTTCAGTGATTCTGTTGTCAGTTATTGAGCGCAATTGCCGCACGTGAGTGAAGTGTGGTCCTCTGCTCTGTAGTCATCGCCTTACTGTACACCTGCTGAGGACGGGCTGAAAGACATACATCTGACTCAGAACATACAAAACTAATAGCTTGTCAAAATATCACGGAACCTTCTAGGATTTGCCAAAACTTCAGTAGGGCAACTGCGATTTTTCGCTCAGAAAAAATAAACTCACACACGCACTGTTGCGGACTCTGTGGAGTTTTTTTTTTACCTTTCGCCTACGGTGTCTCCAAGTCGACTCTGTAGTCCACGCGAGGCATTCTTTTCGCTTAGTTGCTTGGATATTGTATGTAAATGCTTGGTTTTGACTGTCGCCGTTCTCTGCAGAGTCACCGCTGCAAAACCTCGCAAAGCAGGCTCAATTTGAATGCACAGATCCTACCTCGCTCGCGGTACAGTACGCGATCTGGAGTACCGTACCGCGACGCTCTAAAAGGCGCCCTCACCCTTAGGAACGAGCATCCTAATGGGTGAACTTGCAGCGCGGTGGCCAAGTTGCTACCTTTGCCACTGCGCTCATTGAGTGTGCCTTTCCGGAAAAAAATTCTATCAGGTAGACGACCGAGGAATCACTTGAAGTGATAAACAATGTGTTTGGTCCGCAAGTTGAAGTTGTTGCATCCACTTGCGTGGTTCTACGCTCTTGTACATCACGAGTAGCGACGAGGCAATTGCACTGTTCGAACCTTGACCTGCAACGGGTGCAAAATTTTACAGCGGTCTCTACCAGTGCATTGGGTCAGAGTTTTTATGCTTTGTGTTTGGTAGCGGCGGAGCCGACGCCAGTTTGTTGCCTTTGCAATGGCGCGCTTCAAGCGTCTCTGTCCAACTGTCGTCACCCGCGAGACAGGCGCTTGACAATCGGTCCGGCGTCATGGTCTCACGCTTGCTGGCCTTGTCATGCCAGGAATTCTATCCCAGGACGCTGTCACTGGCAACCTACCTGTGAAAATTTGCGCTTGCCGATCTCCACACCTCCATTCTCTGCTAACAGTGACCCACTATGCGCGCTGGGCACGGCACTGAGCTTGTACGAATCGCACTGTGGACGCAAGAATCGTGAGTCACGATCCATTGCTTGAAGTGGCTGGATATTCAGCACGCTGGCTCTAACGGCAACTCGCCCATCAATTTCGACCCCGACAAACACGTCGGCGTCATAATGCCGCGTGTCAATTGATAGTGTCTGGGTAAGCAAGTTTGCACACCGTCTATGACGAGCTGCTTACAGCGCTGCTACTGTTGTGTGAGTGGTGAACACGTATGTTTTAGTACTGACATCTTCCTCTAGCCACACTTGAAGAATCCGTAGCTTACCGATGCACAAGAAACAGAAGGTTATGCATCGTCGCAGGTAAGTACAACAGGAGGACTGCGTGTCTGTACTTTACTCGTCAGCTTAGCACACAGCGGTGAACAGTCTAGTGGAGGTGTCTTCTCATGATCCCTGCACATACAACAGACATGAAAGGAGCCATCGCTCACACAGTACCATGCTGATTGGTCAGTCCACTTCAACTGGATTATGCGATTCTGATTGGCCAATACATTTCAATCTTAGTGTGGCGCACACCAGATACAATTTCTGGCAAGTTGCATGGGCTGCAAGATCAATCAGACAGCGTTATTATGCATCACTCTTCCACCCTCGGCGAGATTGTCACTGCGAGTTTCGAAAGCTTTGTGTGGCCACAATCATGTAGTACTGATCGATAATTATGCATACAAAAGCATTAACACTCTCAAGCTGTTGCTTCACATTCGATCCAACCAGTCCTAGCGACCTGTGCATCGACATTTCTTTAAGTACTGTATCGCGTAGAGCAGACTGCATCGTACAGCAAACCATCCGGACGAAGTCGAGTAGAGACCGGCAGACAGAAAAGCGAGCTATTCGCATCAGCGCTGTTTGTTTCGCGACCGTAATTTACCATCCCTCACCTGAAGAAGCTGCAGACGGTGATACATGTACATGCATCAATTCCGAGAGGCTCCGGCGCTCAACATGAAGATTGCCACCAAGCAACCAAGGACCTTCCACCAAACCTTTAACATCCAATATACATATTTTATCCGGACACATATCCCATAAGCACACACATTCTGACTGTAAGCCTCAATGTCCCAATGCCACATACGGACTGGAACGACCGCTATCGCTACGTTACCTGCAGGTAAAGAAGGCGTTTACAATGTTATTATCTTCGATGCCATTGCCATCAAATGGTCTTGCTTATCGCCTTCGCCCTGAGTTTCAAACGAGCCCGAGACGGACAGCGCGCGTCGGAAGATCTCCTCACACTGCAGGTCGTCGTGACACACGTGTGTTGGTCCGTTCCATCGCCATGGAAGGTGCAGGATCCGCTCAGCCGCGAGGGAAACTTAGCGGCCTCAAGTTGAGGCAGGACTGTAAGATTTCCTGACCTAATTGTTGAGGCGCTTCTCTCGCGCCTTCTTCCCAAGGCAAAGAAAGCTGCGGCGAATCGCCGGCAGCGCCGCATTGCGAGCGGCGCTCGGCTGGAGGCAGCTGCGAGAGACACCCGCAGTGCCCACGCCCCGCTTTTGTTATCTTCCACCGTCAAGGCCGGCCCGGAAATATTGGGCCACGCGTATTTCTATATTACAATAGTCAGGCGGCATCAGTTTTGCGTCGCCATTGTCGCTACATGCTGGACAATACAAGACACTGTTGTGGTCGGAGCAACCACGTCATCTCAGCGGTTACAGCGAGTCAGTACTTCTTCATCTACTTTTATACATCTTGCGCTCTCTAAAGTGAGCCGTTAAAGGTGTTTTAACCGGCTCAAATACGAACTGAAGAAAGCCGATGCTGCGAGGCAGGAGTGGAGGCACGCATGCAACCACCTCGTACATGCAACGCAATGGGACGTCGCTCGACTACACGTCCATTATCGTCCATGTTGTGCTTCCAAAAAAGCAGAGAAAACCTGGCGCTCTTGGTCATGAGAGGTTATTTTTAACTTAATTCAGTAATCCGTGAATTATGCTCGACATACAAATGTCAAGTTATCCTAGTGCGATCTGATACAAAGCTGTCGGGAACGTTCCTGGACATGATGGTGTTGATGTGAGCGATGCAGAAGGAGCAACTCATCATTCTGCATTTCTTCACTCCAAACTCACCTTCTCCACTTCAAGCATGTCCTCGCCCACGCTCTCGCTCGTGTGCTGCATCGTCGTTGCAGCGCTGCTCTCCACCGTTTGCGCCGCGGACACCAGGCATCTCACAGACGCGCCGTCCTCTACCAACGGCGGAATCCCCGTTGCACCTGTCGTTGGCGTCGCGGCCGCAGCAGCCGTGGCGGTTGTGATCCTAGTGGCGATCAAAGTCCGAAGCTCCAGCGGCAGGAGGCCGAAGGACCCCGAGCTGCATGAGGTCGTCATTTCACCCAGCCGGCCCGCCGGACAGCCCATGTCGACCAAGAAGCAGTTCGTTTACACAGCGCACATCTAACTCAACTACGAAGAATCCACCGGGAGCCGCAACCCCCTTACTCAAGCCCAACTACCACCTATTGAAGCGGTACTCTCCCCACGCTATTTATTCATGACGCGAGACCAAAGGAAGCAAGGCTACGTTCATGAACATAACAAACTACACGTAACATTGACTCAATATGACAGTTTTGACCGCAAGCACTATGATCTTGTACCTATGCGATATTCTTCCAGGTAAGAATGGCCATGCAGTGGTCACTAATTTTCATTTTGCTTATCAGCAAGAGGAAGCTCTGATTAGCAGTCATCACGTTTTCTTACGAGATGTTTCAGTTTTGGAGAATCACAATTGTGATTCACAAGTACCTCTGCGAGATTAATAGCTGGACGAAGCATGAGGACTTCACATTCAGGTGCGGCAGGCTGCCAATCAAGGAGATTGCGGTCAAGTGCGTGGGTTCCCATTACTGTACGATATTGTGGTCGGCGCAGTAGGTTTCCCGGCGGCAATTGATTCCCAAATGTAATTATTGTTGTGGTGATGCTGGATTCACGGTTACACAAAAATATTTCTCGTGACATGAACATTGTGTTCCTCCACGTTACGATAGCATACGATACAGTTCTACTTCGAATCTACATTCCGAGATTCTTGAGAGCTTGCGCTAGGTACCATGAACAGCATCGTCGATATTTCGCACTATCATCATTTTTTTTTACATAACGTTAATACTGGGAACATCTTTAAGTATGGACAGCCCTCAACGGATTCATTCTACTGTACTGCGTATCTCGCTCAACATTCAGCTGACTTCAACATGTACGCTGAAGGTTGATCAAAAGTGGCATATTTAAGGCATATTTTGGCGTCGGGTTGTCCGTATCTGATTGTTAGTTAATAGCTAACGAACTTCGATCGCGAAGTCTCGCAGGATTACAACTCACACATATTCGCCCGTGACTGACACTCTGATATCTATTTCTAGTAGTTTTTGTTGCGTTAAAAGAAGAGTATTCCCAGCTAAGTCGAAGACGATCAAGTTATAAAAGAACGGGATACACTGAATTATTAGTTTTTTAATCTGATAGCACGCAACATTTCGACCGCTAGATAGATATCTTCGTGTGGCATCCGCACATTTCACACCGGCATGTATTAATACAAGTATAAAGGAACAAAAGCTCGCATAACTTGATATTGGGGCACCAAACAGTCTTAAATGCACCAAACGAGGACCTACCACTTGAACTATAAATTTAAAAGATATCCGTTTTCGTGGCCGTAATTTAAAAATAATTCGATTTCGGGTCGTTGCTTTGTTAGTTAAGGTAAATGGCCAGTATAAGTCAATGTGCCAGATTAAGGCGCACCAATAGCAGTTGAATATGCAGCTGATTGGTTATATTTAGACACGTACGTTCCACTTATACCTCTCAGTTTTGATCTAAGCTGCCAAATATGAAATGTCGCACGTACAGCAACAAAGAGAAGATGGCCTTCGTGAAATCTATCCGAGAAGGGGGGCGATATCGACGATATCATCGAGAAGAACGGTGTTCCTGCCCGCAACTTGTTCCGATGGGTTGGAGAGGACACAAAAAGGCGCGAAGAATTGAATGAAGGCCTTTACACCTTCAGCAAGCGGCGCGGCTTTGACTCCTCTCTGCCAAGGAAGCTGAAACCACTATTCACGATTGGATCGTGGGTCAGCAGATTGAACGAGCTCCTGTTGGAAGGAAGGACATCGTCAGAAAAGCCAGACAAATTTCAAAGCTGGTTATTCATAAACCAGTAGGTGAGGGTTGGTATCGACGGTTCAGAACTCGCTTTCCAGACGTAAGCTATCGGATCTCTCAGTCGGTTTCGAAGGTGCGCAATTACGCGACGAAAATGGAAGTGTCTACTTTTTTTTGGGTCTTTGGCTAAGGTTATCGTGGAAGAGAACATGGACGTGACTCGCGTGTCCAACGTTGATGGAACTACATTCAAGAGTTTCCGTAAAACAACACGCGTGGTAGCTCTTAAAGGGTAAAGAAAGAGTGGCACACTGATCCTACTACAAGCCTTCATCTCTATATTGTAGCGTGCGGTATGCTGGAGGAATTATCGTGCCTCCTTTATTCATTCTATCTGGTGAGCGAGTGGAGAATGTAGTTTTTGAGCAATGTAGCATACCTGGAGCTACAGTTACAACTACAACAAAGGCGTTTATTACAGCGACTCTATTTGCTAAATGGGTCATTTTCTTCGCTTTTGTTGTTCCTACACCAGTCAAACGACCTCTACTCCTTGTCATGAATGGGTGCGCATCCCACATTACCAAAGGAATCGTCGAGACCGCCGACCGGATGCTCGTCAAACCGGTTTGCCTCCCCACAAACGGCACTCGCTTACTAAAACCATTGGACGTTGCAGTGTTCTCTTCGTTTGAAAACACACTCCACGATCTCATCGACGCTGGCATTCGTCCGAAAAGAAGGCCGCGTGGTTGCACAGTGCAGCACGATATCCTACTTCTACTTGCTCGTCAACGCAAGCAAGAAAAAATTGAAAAAAAAACTAAGACAGTAGCAGGTAGATTGTTAAGTTGCGAGATGCTACAGCAACCTGACGAGTCTTCTCAAGCAAATACTTCGAAACGAACCCGAAAACCAGCAAAGAGTGAAAAACCTACAAAAACAACATGATAACATCGTCAGGAGCACGAGTGCACGCAAGAGCAGGATATCCACAAAGAGCTGGAACACGAACAGGAGCAGGTCCTCTGTAACGTAGAGGAAGCTTGTGTTGCAGGATGCAAATTGTAAAGTGATATTAGTAAATTAAAAGTCTGCACTCTTTTGTGTCTAGACTATCTACTAACCACTCATTGCTAAATGTAAATTAGTTTACGAACGTCCCGTAAACTAACCTGTAATTCGTCCCGTAAACCGTACCATAATCCTAAAGATTTAAATAATACAATCAACGCGGATGCGTTACACGACCCTGTTTTGAAAACGAATGCCTCACTTAGAAGGGCAATTCGGCGCAATGTAACCCACCTTCTTGCAACGGTGACACGTTGCTGTCTCTTGCCAATCTTTATCCAACATGATAGTGCGCTTTCCAGCGTGGTCGAATTTCATTGCCAGCTGGATAATCTCATCCAGTGTAGACGGGTGATGTTCACAAATGTGATTTGCTGGCTTTAACCCCTGCTGAAAATAAAATCGTAGTTCCAGCTGACTAATTGGCACCGTGCATTGGATGAGCAGATTTTGAAATTCCGCCACGTAATCGTGGAGTGACGAATTCTGACTCAGTGCATATAGCCGTTCACGGAGGCGATACTCACTGTCTGGAGGTAAGAAGCGTTGGCGCATGCTATCTTTGAAATTGATC